TCCTCTGTTAGTATTATTGGCTAATTGCCTGCCTGATTATTGCTCTTCTTCTCTGCCCACCCTCTTGTCTGTCTCTCTTAGGGCATTTTCTGTACAGTGATGCTCTAAACTTTTCCCCCTCCCCCCTGCCATATTCCTCCATGGTTCAATTCACCTGCCAGCAGCAGGGCTTATGAGCACATGAAAGTGGAAGGCACTAAAAAGAAAAAAAAAAAGTTTGGAGTGCCTATTAGACACACACCTGATCACACAGGTCTAAAAGTAGGAACACACACAGACAAATCGTGCCATGCATGCAGGTACACTGATGTAAATGAACACATTCTATACAAGCCACTGCCTTCTCTTTCTTTTGTGAAGCTTAAAGTTATCGAAAGAGGGTTGCAACCAAAATATTGTCTAAATTGTGTATACTGTACATACATGTTTTTTAGCTACATAATTCATAAATTAATTTACCTAATATCTTTAAAAGTGTGTTTTTTTTTGTTTGTTTGTTTTTCTTTTGAGAAAACGGAAAGACATTCACATTAAGACTGGCAAACATTATACAAATGGATCATGATTAGTGTTCAGCTTGGGCACAGATGAACAACCTGCCCTTGCACTGTGGCTAACACATGTTTATATTTCTCTGGTTTGGGTGGAAGCCTTGATTCAGTCCAATCAGCTTGAGCAAAAATATATTTGTTCCCTCTTATCATTCTGCTATCCCGGCATCAAATCACCCTGCCCTGTTATGTGGAAGAACTATAACTTTTTGCAGGTATCTCGTATTACATACACACATTTTTTTATGTATCTTAAATTAAGTGATTTAGACAAGTTTGTTTGGTGTTAGAAAGCAAAACAGGATTTCATATGTAGAGTATTGGGCGGACCTCAACATTTTGATTTGGCTCCTTCATTCACAACCAGTCTTCCCAGAAAAGAAGCAGAAAACAAAACAAACAAACAAAGAAATAAAACACTAAGCTTGCAATCAATCAGTACACCATGCTGTGACTTTAAATAGTATAGTATCACTACTTGGCCAAGGTCAAGCATTTGGGGGAATAAAGAAAGTGTTCTCAGTAGCTTAATACTCTGTTTTACCACAGCTCACATCAGTCTTTCAAAAATAGCAGCATTTTTATTCTCAAACTTGGTGACACTGCAGAGTGCAACATTTACTGATAGACTGCAAATGCTTTTACAAATCAGGTGACAATGGGTTTCATCCATCCATCCATTTTCCTCCGCTTATCCGGGACCGGGTCGTGGGGGCAGCAGTCTAAGCAAAGGTGCCCAGACTTCCCTCTCTCCAGACACTTCCTCCAGCTCCTCTGGGGGAATG